AACTAAATATAAGTTCTATAATTTTCGTGAGCAACATATTGTAGTTATCGCTACTCCAAAACTCTCATCTTCATGAAGTTTGATGAAAATGATTTTGATTATTAGTTCCTTCAATTATATTTCTATTAATTGACTGAAACAACACTATTCCTTTTATTCAAACATAAACATCCAAGTGCATGTTCGATTTGATAAATCTTTTTCATCTACACAATGTGATACAAGCATTGAACAACAAAATTCAATTCCACATTACACTGCTAAATTCATCTCATCTTAGTTTCATCTTCACATCCTTCACCTTAAACATTTCTGGTTATTTTGTAGAAATAGTTTCAATTATTCTTAACAGTAGCATATATAAAATCATGTACTGTATCAACAGTACTTAAGAATTATTTAATTTAGGATTAAAATAGAAATTTATTTAAGGTTATCATAGACTACTTAAGTAACTCGAATGCTTTAACCATGTATTCGACACATCCTCTTAGTATTCCAGCATACGGAGATCCCAGAAATGTGTAAGGAGAAAAGGAGAGTTTGAATCAGAACGCAGCCTGCAGCTTACTACCTTAGCCTGTAGCCTCTATGTAGATTCTTTGTAGTTTTATATCCATTACGTTAGTCTGTATTTTCATAGTATTTATTCTGTTATTGATAGAAGTGTGCGTGCGTTAATTTCTATAAATAAATAGACCTTTTTTGTGCGGTCTTTTCAATAAAAAAACGGTATGAAGGAGGAGGGGTGGGAAAACCAAGTTACTGGACTAACGTACGTCATGGGTATTGTTTCAGGAGGCTCAGGCTTCGGCGGAAAGCAGAGGGGAGGTGGTCGTCAAAACCAAAGGCACCAACCCTATTAATGGAAATCATTCATTGCGACCGCAATGCAATTTGCATTGTAACCGCTGGTGAGTCATCATAGCTTTCCTCTGGCAGCTATAACTTCAGTATCAACAACCTGTCTCTTCCTTTTCCAATATCATTTACAACGGCTTCGAAAAAAGTTGTCCATACTAACATGTACAAGCATATATCCCCTCCCCGTAGGCTCATGATCCTCTACATATGGTGAACTCATATTGTTCTGTCAGTAGCTAGTTTATTAATTTTGTATTGTACTTATTACTCTGGAACATTTTCGTAAAACATGGTATGTAATGTATCGAATAAGATACGGATACATTATGTACGTCTACACACAAATTGAAATGTTAGCTTTCAGGAAAAATGTAGCTGCACTATATCTATAATAGTACCCATTATCACTTCATTGTCTACCCTTCTTTCTGATCTTATTACGTTTATAGGATAATAACTTGTATGTTTTATCGTAAATTAATCGCGCGCGCGCGTCAAAGGACCTTTTCTTGTATCAATATCAATTAATTTGTAATTAGCGAGTTTCGAGATAATTACAGATTTTATAAAAGAAATTGTATTATTTATTTCCAAAAATTTAGTGTTCGTGCTTATTCTCACAAAAGTCACTGTTCTTTTTACAATAACGTCTTAATCCTGAATCGACAATAAGACCTCACTTATATTTCTTTCGATTTGTAAGCATTTTTTTTTAGCACATCCCACTGTTCTGTTGGTATGGACAGCCACTTTTAGATCCTTTATATTTGTTTACGTGACATTTAAAACAATTTTAAATGTAAAGCGAGAAAGTAATAGTTATAATTGAAATATTTAATTTTGTCATTTTCTTTTCAGGTTTCCTGTCCTACAACAAATCTCATAACTCGTTAAATCATCATTCCATTAAACCACGCCACTTTCAACAAGATTATCAACAACGCAGATTACTGCCGCAAAATAAAACGAACCATCAGGAGTCACGACAGAAACTGTAATAGCGTCACGTCTTGCGTCTAGCAATACATCTGCATTATCAAGACAGAAAACAAAAGCAAACATATATACATATATATATTATATATATATACATATAGATTCACGATGCTTTCTTCCATCTCTCGTTTACCCTTTTGTACAAAGTCGAAAATGCTTCATGTTTCTCATTGGTCTCTCATTTTTCATCTTATTTATCATTTAATTTTTTACTGCGAAATACGTTACGTGATTCAACGTAAGGCATTGTCGTCTAGCAGAACGCTGGATAAATTTGTTGGGAATTATTAAACTCCGAACATACGGATAAATGATGTAAGTTGACGTTACACCTTACGATGAAGTATTGTAACGTAAATATGGAACGTTTGTGCAAATGGGAAAGCAAAAGATGATAGGAGATAATTTAAATACAGATACATATTAGGAAGAATCAAGTTTTCTCCATCACCATTTAGGGACTGTTGAGAGACGAGCAATTTTGTCCCTATTTTCAACAATAAGATTATTTTAATTTGTTCGCTATGTTTAATCTAAACACACAATCATTGTTTATTATGATCGTGTGACATATGTAAAAAGATTATTGCTTCCTTATTGATAAGAGAAAATAGGATAAAATAAATTCATTTTGTGTACATAAAATATCTCTCGCGTATGTTTGTATTTGTGTTAACCTATCCTAATAATTTAATTTTCGAAAGGAAAAAAAAAACTATGATTTGTACACAATATTTTAAAACATAGCGAACGAACGTCTATACACTAGATTTAAAATAAGACTGACACGGAGGTTTAGTGTGTTTTGTATTACAAACAATATTTTGCTGATTCTACTACAGTACATGTAACAAGCTAGATGTACATTCTTTCAGTTTTAATTACACTCAAGGAATAGCACATGTACATTATATATATCGACGATTTCATTCTAGGCAAAGAACATCGTAATAAGGTTTTTAAAGTGAAAGAAAATATTGTATTTTTCTCAAATTCAACACTGTTCCATGTCACAAAAGTATTACATTAAAAAAATTAGTGTAAAGTGTTGTGTTTCCTTAATTTCACTACTTACGTACATACGTGTTTCAAAAAAATTGTTGCAAGATACATGTAGCGATCAATTTGAAAATAATTTATGTATTTTACTACGACTTTACTTTAATTTGATTTAAGCAGGTATTCTATATACACGAAATTCTCTAATTAAGAAATTTTTATCTTTTGATATTAATTTTTTGTGCAATTTAGTAGAAGAATCATTGATGCAGTAACAATTTTGTACCTAATTTTGAATAGCTAAATGCTACTGTTAAAAAAGGCCTAAGTTGTAAATTGTCAGTTTTCTTTTTCTGTTACACTCACATATATTTATAAATATTACACGCNACACTGCAGATCAAGCAGAACTGTTTTATGTATTTTTTTTTAATATTTAAATTTGCTTTTTAGTTATATTGAATTCATGTTGCGAATTGTAAAGATACTTAAGTACTTTAAATTTATTTGTGCATTCTTATATAT